GTGTGGTGGTGAGAGTCATGTCTGTCTGTCTGCTGCCTCTCCTCTGTGTCGTGGTGGGCTGGTCGACCGCCCTCCCGGAGGCCATCATGGGCCACACGGAGGAGTTCGACTTGACCCCTCACGTCATATTTAACCAGATAGCTCTACAACAGCTGCAGGAGGAGCAGCGAGGCGTCGAGGAAGGTAAGAGTAGGAGCAAAGTTATGTTCACAGCTCCTTGTGACTTATTTAACGAGTTAGTAAACAAAATATTTGTTCCTTATATAAAAACCATAAGGCACAAGCTAATCTCTGGTGTTGAACACATCATAGACACACATGTAAGGATACGATCTTAATGGTGGCAACTGTTTACAGGTGTGAAAAGTATACTGATGGTGATGGCCAACCTCACTGAAATGGTCTCCACTCACCTGACTTTTGATGACAAGTATACGCAAGGTAAGGAGTCATATATAGAGTACACGTGTCGATATTTCTATGTCTCTCAGTTTAGTCACTCGATTCATGTCTATTTGACTTCACTCAAGATTTTAGGCACTGAAATGAGTACAACAAGATAATTGTTAAAATAATATTCTCCTGGTCCTGGTGGCATTATGTCTCCAATTTGTTGAAGAATCTTGGGACTGAAGTATTCAGTCTTGTCGCCTTCAGCATCAAGCACAGCCTGTTATTCAAAGACGATAGTACCTATAGGCACTATGGATAGACGAGCATTATCTCTATAGTCACTACGGATGGACGTGCACAGTACTTATAGTCACTACGGATGGACGTGCACAGTACTTATAGTCACTATGGATGGACGTGCACAGTACTTATAGTCACTATGGATGGACGTACACAGTACATATAGTCACTATGGATGGACGTACACAATATCTATAGTCACTATGGATGGGCGAACATAGTACCTATAGTCATTATGGAAGGACGTACATAGTACGTATAGTCACTACTGATGGACATAGACAGTTCGAGTAGTCACTATGGATGGACGTACATTAGTACCTATAGTCATTATGGATGGACGTACATAGTATCTATAGTTACTAAGGATGGACGTAAATAGAACCTATTGTCACTATGGTTAGATGTGCACAATATCTATAGTCACTATGAACTGAGGTACACAATATCTATAGTCACTATGGATGGACGTACATAGAACCTATAGTCACTATTAATGGACGTACACAGTACTCATAGTCACTATGGATGGACGTATATAGTACCTATAATTCTTATTAGTGGACGTACTTAGTACGTATAGGCACTATGGATAGATGTACATAGTACCTATAGTTACTCTGCATGGACGTACATAGAACATGTAATCACTATAGATGGACGCACATATAACTATTGTCACTATGGATGGACTTACGTAGAACCTATAGTCACAATTAATGCCTATACACAGTTCCTATAATCACTATGGATAGACGTACACAGTTCCTATACTTGCTATAGATGGACGTACATATAACCTATAGTCACAAGGGAAGGCCGTACATAGTACCTATTGTCTCTATGGATAGATGTACTTAGTACCTATAGTCACTGTGGATAGATATACACAGTTCCTATACTCACTCTAGATGGACGTACATAGTACCTATAGTTAGTAACGATGGACGTAAATAGCACCTATAGTCACTGTGCATGGACGTGCACAATATATATAGTCACTATTAATGGACGTACATAGTACCTATATTCATTATGGATGGCCGTACACTGTACCTACAGTCACTATAGATGGACGTACATATAACTATAATCACTACTGATGGACTTACATAGAACATATTGTCACCATGGAATGTACATACATAGTACCTATAGTCACAATGGACGACCGTCTTTCAAAAACACACACTTACATAACCCTTGTGGATTTATTTACGTTCTTAAAACCTATTGTCAGTGTGGATGGACGTACATATAATTATAGTCAAAATGGATGGACTTACAAAAGAACCTATAATCACTAATAATGTACGCACACAGGCGTACATTATACACAATTCTTGACACAACATTGCATTCAAATAGGCGAGTGTTTTTCTATACCTAATATAAACATGCCTCACTTGTGACGAAAAAACATGTTATTTTTTCAAACAGTGCCGTCTGTAGGATGTATGAGCAACACATGCTGTAATCTCCGAAAGTTCTTCACCGATTGCTTTTAAATTTTGACACAACGTTCCTTTCAAATACGTGCGTGTTTTGATCTATAGTCACTATGGATGGACGTATATAGTACCTATTGTCACTATGGATGGACGTAGACAGTACTTACAGTCACTATGGATGGACGCACATTAGTGCCTATAGTCACTATAGAAGGACGTACACTGTACCTATAGTCACTATGGATGGACGCACATAGAAATTATAGTAACTATGGATTGACATACATAGAACCTATAGTCACTATGGATGGACGTACACAGTGCCTATAGTCACTATAGATGGACATACATAGAACCTATAGTCACTATGGATTGACGTACACAGTACTTATAGTCACTATGGATTGACGTACATAGAACCTATAGTCACTATGGATTGACGTACATAGAACCTATAGTCACTATGGATGGACGTACACAGTACTTATAGTCACTATGGATGAACGTACACAGTGCCTATAGTCACTATGGATGGACGTGTATCCCTCCCAGGGACTTTCCCCTGGAAGGTGAAATTCCCCTCAATAATGTCATCTCGTCCCATGTTACACATATGCCATTGATGTCTGGAGTCTCGGCCTCAGCATATGCACACAATGCTTCATATGTATTCACCAGGCTTTGGGTATTAAAGTAGAAGCACATTAAATTTCTCTCGTTGTTCCTATTGGGCTGAGAGATAGCTCCTATATTGTGTACATTATTATTATGTTCGTTGTCACTCGGGTTTTGTGCCTCTACTATTCTGATCACCCGTCCTCTCTTGATAAATTGCTTGATTTTTTTGTGTATTCCTTAACTCTATTTTTATTCCTTAACTCCTTTAACTTTCCTCTTAGCATTCTGTGATTTTTTTTCCTGTTCAACTGTGTGGTCAAGGGAGATAGAGACATGGATACCCGACAAGATCTTCTAGGTTATGTGTACTGGTTAGTGTTTTCCTTCAGTGTTCAAATTTTACTAGGGTTATGTATACTATACTCGCTGTGGGAACCGACCTGTGAGATTTATATTTATTTAATTTATATGAATTTATATAGAATTTGTATTTATGTTAATAAATACAAATATTTCGATAGGAATTTGTATGATGTTTAGTGGACTGCATTTCTGAAATAATCTCACAAATCGATCCTTACACATTAAGGGGGGGGGGGTATTATATATATATATATATATATATATATATATATATATATATATATATATATATATATATATATATATATATATATATATATATATATATATATATATATATATATATATATATATATATATATATATATATATATATATATATATATATATATATATATATATATATATATATAACTTATTATTATTGTCCGGTCGTGATGGTCAAGCGGATTAAGGCGTCCCTGTACATACCAGTTGCGTTGCTCCTGGCAGTATGGGTTCAAGTCACTTCTGGGGTGTGAGTTTTCAGTTGTATATAGTCCTGGGGACCATTCAGGCTTGTTTGCATTTGTGTTCCTCACGTGTGCCCCAAAGAATGAGGCGATTTGATAAAATGCTATGCCCAAGATTACCATCCGAGTGCCGGCGGGGAAGTGGTTCAAATAGCTTCGGCTATCACTTCCTTATTGTCCGGTCGTGATGGTCAAGCGGATTAAGGCGTCCCTGTACATACCAGTTGCGTTGCTCCTGGCAGTATGGGTTCGAGTCACTTCTGGGGTGTGAGTTTTCAGTTGTATATAGTCCTGGGGACCATTCAGGCTTGTTTGCATTTGTGTTCCTCACGTGTGCCCCAAAGAATGAGGCGATTTGATAAAATGCTATGCCCAAGATTACCATCCGAGTGCCGGCGGGGAAGTGGTTCAAATAGCTTCGGCTATCACTTCCTTATTGTCCGGTCGTGATGGTCAAGCGGATTAAGGCGTCCCTGTACATACCAGTTGCGTTGCTCCTGGCAGTATGGGTTCGAGTCACTTCTGGGGTGTGAGTTTTCAGTTGTATATAGTCCTGGGGACCATTCAGGCTTGTTTGCATATATATATATATATATATATATATATATATATATATATATATATATATATATATATATATATATATATATATATATATATATTTAAATATATAGTGGGGTACCACCACTGGTGCAATTATGGGGACCCACAGCCTCAGAGAAGGGAACACAGAGCACTCAGGGAAAAACTTGACATTTAACTCTGAATACGAAAGAGTGTTCACTTCTCCTACCACCCCCCTTTTTTTTTATTATGATGTACACTTTATTATGCAAGGTTATACAGTGACATATCTGATTTTATACAAAAAATGAACATTAAGAGGACACAAGAAAAAGTTCGCTTCCTAGAGGCTGTAGATTTCCTCGAACTCCTCCGACGCCGGGCAGGAACCGAGGATGCAGCGGGCATTTCCCATCTGGATCGCGACACTGAGGCGCTGAAAGAGAAAACTTGCTGCTCTAGGGTCTCTTGTGGTGTCAATGACCTTGGAACCAAGATCCTTAAGAAACCTTCTTGCACTCTCACCCCATGGGCCTAGGGTCTCAGACCCTACTGGAACGAAGTTGTACCTTTGATCTAATTGCTTGTACTTGACTGACTTTTGTTTTTCTCTGTGTGTCGCTGCGGCTCCTGCTGTGCCGGCAGAGAGGGTGATGTATGTCGTTGCCAGGGTGGATACGCAAGTATAGTCCCATGCTAACTGCCTGCCACCCTTCCACGGACGCAGTGTGATTCCGTCTGGTCGGGCGGCAAAGCTGACAGAGTCACAGTTCAGTAGGTTGCGGGGCTCTCTCTCCGCTGGACACTGAGCAGAGGCAAGGCTTCTTTTAATGATGTCGTTGACTTCGTCGTGTCTAGTGTGCCAACCACCCGATTTTTCACAGTGCAGGCCATGCAATCCATATTCGTCAGCATCTGCCTCGCCGCAAATACACCTGTGAACAGTGTGGATAGGGGCAGCAAGGAGGAGAGCGACTGCAATGCAGATCAAGACGTGTGCCTGTCGCAGACATAGGGACTGCCAGAAGGAAGTCCCCTGCATGGGGAGCCTGCACAGCTGTGAGGCGTGCACGATCACTGGGGGTTGTTGCTGCCTCCAGCAAAGCTGTGGCTACTTTGTCTACAATGGGGCTGTCCCTACTGGATTGTTTCTTGGCTTTCGGCATGGCTGGTCTGAGTGCTGGGTCTGTCATGGCACCCCATTTCGTGTCGCATTCCGTGTAGTGGGGGTCCTGTATCC